GAGGAGGAGGAGGAGGAGGAGGAAGAGGAGGAGGAGGAGGGGCGGGCCTTCCCAGACCCCCTCGAGGCAAAAAGGGGTCACGACCGCAGGCGTTTCGCCCTCTGGCCTCTGGGGGTTTTGGCCCTCGAGGAGAGAGGCATACGTGAAAGAGAGAGAGAGAGAGAGAGACGAGAGAGATACAAAACGTATTCGCCGGCCCAACGGGCCAGAGGCGTGCTAAGATCTCCGGTAACTTGTTAACAATATTTCTAGTTCGCGCGCGCGGAGCGGCCCCCGGGGGCCCCCGGACGAGAAGTACCCCGGCAAGGTCCCGAGAGAAGCCCGGGAGAAGCCACCAGACCACTCCAGGGGAGGGTATTTTTCGACACCCCTCACGAGGATCGTGGCCTCCGAGGGGGGAGCCGCAATCGACTACCCCCAAGAGCCCCCCAAGAGGCCCTGGGGGCCTCCAAAACGCCGCCAAGGAGCCCCAAGAGACTCCCAAGAGGTCCCCAAGAGGCCCCCAAGAGGCCCTAAAGAGGGCTCCAGGGCCGGCGGCATGAGCGAAGCGATTAAATAATTGGATGCTTGACAGAGGGCGCTGGTCATCATGTGGGCTTGAGCACGGGCGCGTACGCCACCGTCCACAGTGCCATCCAAAGAGCAAAATTCCACAGAATGCAATTGAACGGCGCGAGGATCACACCCAAACTGCAACGGCGACATCTGGTCGTCAACACGTAAGAACAGGTCCAGACAAAAGTGTAACACAACACAGCAATTGTCGATGAGACGGCGAGCATGATGATGACGTTGGTGCAATTGTTGGCGTCCCCGGGCACGCCCTTGAATATGCCAGCATTGAAGACTCTTGGGACATCTAAAAGCGGCACGGCGTCCATGAATGTTTCGGTGAACACCACCACGAGGACCGAGAACGCTCCGAGGCACATGGCGTAGAAGCGGTGGTCCCAAAACGCCAGCGCCCGCGCGTGCAGAGGGCTCTTGATTCGCTCGATGGCGTCCCGTGCCACCTCGTCCGCGAACGCCTCGCGGGTGAGCTTCACGGCCCTCTTGCCAAGGAACACCGTGGTGCACAACCGCTCGGCGTGGTAGATCACGCCGACAAAGACCCCGCAGAAGAGAAAATACACCGGCTGCGCAAACCCTGGGGTCGCGGGGCCGGCCAGTACGAGGGCGCAGTAGGCGTACACGACAATGCCCGGGAGGACGAATCTCCTTGTGTTGAAATTCATCGAAGCCACGGCGGTGACCAACATCCTGATGACCGGCTCGCAGCCCTGAAGGCGGTACTCAAACACGTCTAGCATATGCTCGGCCTTGTCCAAGTCCTGGACGATGGAGAAGAGCAGGAGCACGAGCACGAAGACGAAGACCATGACCGTGCCCAGGGTCAGCGAGTCTTTGAAGTCCCGGACGAAGTCGCACCTGTCCACCGCGTGCGCGGCGCAGTGTGCCACGGCGGCGGAGAGTGCGGCGTCGGAGAGCTCCTCGTAGGCGCCTGGGCCGAGCCGCACCGGGAGGGCCGCGTAGTCAAACAGGACCTGCGCCGCGCCCAGGTCCGCGTCGAGCCCTCTTCGGCCTTGCGCCACCATCGGCAGTACTGGCGATGCTGGTGGTGGTGTCGATGCTGGCGTTGGTGCTGGTGTCGAGGCTGACATTAATGCTGATCTGCTCTGTTCATACGTTGGTTCTGGCATCGGTGCTGGCGTCGGTGCTAGCGTTGGTGTTGATGTCGGTGCTAACGTCGGTGCTGGCGTCGGTGCTAGCGTTGGTGCTGATGTCGGCGCTGGCGTCGGCGCTAGCGTTGGTGCTGATGTCGGTGCTAACGTCGGTGCTGGCGTCGGTGCTAGCGTTGGTGCTGATGTCGGCGCTGGCGTCGGTGCTGGCGTTGGTGCTGATGTCGGCGCTGGCGTCGGCGCTGGTGTCGGCGCTGGTGTCGGAGACTCCACCTCGCTGAGCAGCGTGGCCCACAAGCAGTCGTCGCACGTGCCCGGCAGGGCCTCGTAGCCGCCGACGCTCCAGCTGGGCGAGCACCAGGTGCCCGACCGGCAGTCCTCGTTGCGGACGCAGGTGGGGTTCAGGGCCTCGAGACTGACGGAGTGGAGCACGATGGCCTGGAGCAGCAGGAGCAGGGCAGACGGCACCAGGGCGCAGCACGCGCCGCCGCACGTGGCGCCCTGCCGCGTGGCGGCGGACATGCCCCAGGCGTGCACACCGACGCAGTTGATGTTCCTCTGGGTCGTGTAAAGGAAATCAGCGTAGGCGGCCTGCTGCTTATCGGGATCCGTCTTCGCCTCGGCGCCATAGTCGTCGCCCTCCTCGGGCACGGCGGGCAAGGACCCCATGTCCTCGTCCGTCGACGGCACCCGCGTGCCGCCGGCGTCCGCCGCGGGGTGCCACGCCTGGGACTTGTGCACGCTCCTCTCCATCTTGGCCAACCGGTCGGACAGCGCCCCGATGTGCGCCGCGATGGCCGCGTTGCTTGCCTCGAGGTTCCTGTCCGCTCGCCTCTCCACGTTGTCGACCGCATTGTAGGCGGCCGACTCCTCGGCCGCGGTGACGCCGCCGCCCTGGCCGCGGCCGCCCACGGCGTCCGAAACGAACTGCAGCATGGCGCCTCGCGTGGGCGCCGGCCTGCACACGCACCGGCCAAGCACAAGCGCCCACGGGTGCGCGGAGGCGCGGGCCGCGCCGGCTGCTTTGGGCCGGCGGCGCTTGAGCCAAAAAGGTTGCGGGCGAGTTTGGGTTGCTTTGGGAGCTCGCTCGGTGCCTCGCCGACTCTATAAATAATTATTCACTGCATGGAACTCCCCATATGTGCATCTATTCGCATGGACCTGTCCGCCGTGAATGTCTAGGCGCAAGAGCTTTCGAATCTAAACGGGTTTCAGTTGCGACGGTCTGGACATGAATCTAAGTGCGAATGAAATTGAATGTGAATGAGCCTCAGTGGTACGAGCGCGTCTCTGCGCCTGAGCCTGGGGCCTCCTGGGGCCTCCTGAAACCTACTGGGGCTTCCTGGGGTCTCCAGGAGCCTCTTGGGGCCTCCTGGGACCTCCTAGGGAGGTTTCGTGCCCCAGGGGAGGCGCAATATACAGCAACAGACGTACATAAAACATTGCGGATTAGAGCCACTTTTGTACACACCAGGCAGCTCGTGCGGCACGAGCCGATCCCGCCGCCAAAATGGCGCAAGCCGCAGAGTGCGGCCAGGAGGCTCCGCAGACAGCGGCCTCCAAAGCAGCGTGCTCGCCACGCTGCGTGGGTATGCGCCGTCAGGTGAGGCAGCCACGCGAGCCACCATCCACCCCGTGCCGAGCCTGAAAAGGCCCAGACCACCGTAGGCACTCCCCAACTCACACGGCGCTGGCGGGCCTCCAGCTCACAGACTCCAGCATCTGCCGAAGCTGCACGCTGAGCTGAGGCCCGTAGCCAGGCGCCTGCCGAAGGAGGCCGTCGGCAAGCTCGAAGACCTCCCCAGGGCCTTCAGAGGCAGCAGCTCCGCCGCCAGCAGGCGCCGCACCCGCGAGCGCCGTGCCCAGCTCCGCCGCCGCCCCCGCCGCCTCCGCCTGCCTTCCCCGTGCGCGCCTCGGCCCACGCCGCCGTGGCTCGGCACCTCCAGCCAGGCCGGCGCGCTCGAGGCCGCACGCAGCAGCTCCAGCAGTTTTTCCCACTCCGCGAGCGAGATCCGCCGCTTCCGCCGCCGCCGCCCCGCCCGGGGCCCTCGCGAGGGCCAGCGCCGCGCCCGCGGGAGCGGCCGCCGCGGCGGCCAAGCCAGAGCCCGTACCGCCCGCGCCAGCAGCCACCGCCTCCGCGGCCCACCTGCCCTCGCGCCCCCGCCCAGGCCGCCGCCGCCCGCCGACAGGCAGGATGTCAGCCCAGGAGTCGTCGACCAACGAGGCGAGGTCTTCGTCGTCGGCGCCGTCGACCGCCATCGCCGTGGGCAGCAGGGCGAGCCCCAGGCCCGCACCAGTACTGCCAGCGCCAGCCGTCGTCACGTCGCCGTCGGTCATCTCCTGCTGCTTGCGAGCCGCGCGCGCCGCGCGGCGGCGCCGACGCCGCGCCCGCTTCGCCTCCACGGAGGCACCAGCTGGGCGAGCGGCATCGCCAACGGCATCAGCAGCAAGATCGTCACGTCGGCCGTCCGCAGCGTGCGCTTGCGTCGTTGGCCGCGCCGCGAACGCGGCGGCCGAGACCGCAGAGCGCGCCACTGCGGCGACCGTGCGGCGCGGCGCGCCGCCGTCCACAGCGCCGCGGACCGCCGCGCGCACCAGCAGCGCGAGGTCGTCGGCGGCCGTGCCAGCCCCTCTAGCCGCGCGCAGGCCAGCCATCCCGAGGCGGGAGGCCGAGGCGGCGCGGCATGCGAACGCTTGAGCCAAAATGCTTGAGCCAAAATGGCTACGGACGGATTAGAGCCACAGGAGAAGGGCAATCTATAGGAACACGCGTAAAACACCAAGGACTCGTGCCCCAGGAGAGGCCCAATATACAGGAACATAAGTAAACACGGGAGAAGGACAATCTATAGAAACATACGTATAACATCAAAGAATCGTGCTCCAGGTGAGGCCCAATCCATGAGCATACGTAAAACACATGGGATTGGAGCCACTCCTGTTGCCTTCTGAGGCCTCCTGCTCCTGGGGCCTCTCGGGGCCTCCTGTTGCCTTCCGAGGCCTCCTGGCGCTTCCTGTTGAGTCCTGGGGCCTCCTGTGGTTTCCTGAGGCCTTCTGGAGCTTCCTGGGGCCTCCTGGAGCCTCTTGGGACATCCTGTGGCCTCTTGGGTCTTTCCGTGGCCTCCTGATGCCTCCTGGGACCTCATGTGGTCTCCTGGGGCCTCCTGGAGCCTGTCGGAGCCTCCTGTGGCATCCTGAAAAGATTCTGCGCCCACGAGCCTGGCCACCAAAACAAGCAAACCGCTTGAGACATCCTCAAAATCTGGCCCACCTGGGGGGTGAAAATGAGCGCCTCGCTCGAGACATCCTCCAAATCTGCTTCGAAAGCGAAGGATGTTGGCACAGAAAACAGGCAAACCGCTCGAGGCATCCCCGCAAAATCCTGCGAAAGGGGCCGAGTGAAACACCCCCCCGCCGCTCCCCTTAGGAACGTAAAAATGAGCGCCTCGCTCGAGGCATCCTCCAAATCTGCTCCGAAAGCGAAGGATGTTGGCACAGAAAACAGGCAAACCGCTCGAGACATCCCCACAAAATCATGCGAAAGGGGCCGAGTGAAACACCCCACCGCCGCTCCCCTTAGGAGTGATGAAGCCACAGAATCGCTTGAGACATCCTCAACATCAGTGCGTGTGTGTGTGAGTCATCCGATGAGTGGACCTGAGTGAGTGTAGTGAATGTATGAGTACAAGTACGAGTGAGTCTGAGTGATGAGTGAGTCTGAGTGATGAGTGATTCTAAGTGATGAGTGATGAGTCTGAGTCATGATTGAGTCCGAGTGATGAGTGAGTCTGAGTGATGAGTGAGTCTGAATGATGGGTGGGTATGAGTGATGAGTGAGTCTGAATGATGAGTGTGGGTATGAGTGAGAGGAGTGGTGCGTTCTCTCTCGTTCTCTCCTCCGGCGCGGTCCGCCAATAATAAAAAAACACCGGATATGTAACCCTTTCAGGTGACGCCTCCGACAATCCTCCTCGCACTCCTGATCCTCACGGAAGCGTAACCCTTTTTCAGGAGACGCCTCTGGCAATCCTCCTCACACAAGAAACACACAAACACACCGGAGATGTAACCCTTTTCAGGTGAAGCCTCCAGTCAATGCAACCAGACAGAGACAAACAGAAAACAACATGAGGCAATACATCAAACAACACAAGAACACAAGAACACACCGGAAATGTAACCCTCTCAGGTGAAGCCTCCGGTCAATGCAATCAGACACAAAGAGACAGAAAACAACCTGAGGCAACGCAACAAGCAACACTATGGAACAGAACAAGCAAAGACAAACAACACAAGAACACGCCGGAGATGTAACCCTTTCAGGTGAAGCCTCCGGCCGCCGGAGGTGTAACCCTTTCAGGTGAAGCCTCCAGTCAATGCAACCAGACACAGAGAAACAGAAAACAACATGGCGCAAGACATCAAACAACACTATGGCAAAGAACAAACAAACACAAGAGCACAAGAAAACACCGGAGATGTAACCCTCTCAGGTGAAGCCTCCGGTCAATGCAATCAGACACAAAGAGACAGAAAACAACCTGAGGCAACGCAACAAGCAACACTACGGAACAGAACAAGCAAACACAAACAACACAAGAACACGCCGGATATGTAACCCTTTCAGGTGAAGCCTCCGGCCGCCGGAGGTGCAACCCTTTCAGATGATACCAAAAAGTCAATGCAACCAGACACAGAGAAACAGAAAACAACATGGGGCAAGACATCAAACAACACTATGGCAAAGAACAAACAAACACAAGAGCACAAGAACACACCGGAAATGTAACCCTTTCAGGTGAAGCCTCCAGTCAACGCAATCAGACACAAAGAAACAGAAAACATCCTGAGGCAAGACAACAAGCAACACTATGGAACAGAACAATCACACACAAACAGCACAAGAACGCGCCGGATATGTAACCCTTTCAGGTGAAGCCTCCGGCCGCCGGAGGTGTAACCCTTTCACGCGACGCCTCCGGCAATCCTCCTCGCACTCCTGATCCTCGCGGAAGTGTAACCCTTTCAGGTGACGCCTCCGGCAATCCTCCTCGTACTCCTGATCCTCACGGAAGTGTAACCCTTTCAGGTGACGCCTCCGGCAATCCTCCTCGCACTCCTGATCCTCACGGAAGTGTAACCCTTTCAGGTGACGCCTCCGGCAATCCTCCTCGTATTCCTGATCCTCAATGAGCCCATAGAGTCCCTGCACAGTCCTCCCGTGCAAGCGGTCTCTGCTGAACCGTAGCGCCACCGAACAAGCACACGAACCTGCAACCTCCGCGGTGCCAAAGAGCGCGCAGTGGCACCGGAACTATACGAACAAGAGTGAGTTGGCCTTCAACCTCGAACAATCAAAAAACAACTGGAGGGCACCGGAAACATGCAAGCTGCGAGAGTGGGCCTTCAACCTTGAACAGAGAGCGCCAGCCATCGCCCTGCCACAAGCAGCACCGCCACTGGGGGCCACCGACGGGGCCCCCAATGTGAAAAACATCCCTGCAAATGAAATATGCATTCAACCTGGAAGAACAAAACAACGACTGGAGGGACGGCGACGACGTAGGTCCCTGGATGTTGCCCTGGAGGTTGAGAAGCCTGAGCCCCCTGAGGCCCAGGAGCCACGGCGTGTAAGATCGTCGCGCCAGCTCCGTGCGCCCAGTGTCTTCATGGACGCATTGTCACGCCCGCTGCTCCAGACGCCGACGCTTCGTTGTCCGCAAGGACAACGACCAATATACGCAATTTGCCATTTCGGGGAAAGGTTTATCAGAACCATAGGAAGCGGCTTCCGCCTGGGACTTCCTCGCAATTCACTCACAGCCGCGGGTGAGCGGGCGGCAGTGATACGCCGTAGGCGTCTGAGATAGCAGTCAAGGAAGGAGGGAAAGGAAGGCAAGAGAGGGAAAGGATGGAGAGGGGCGATTATCCTGGAGGGGGGGGGTGTGCCCATCCGAGGGAACGGTGCACCCCCCCCCCTCCCATCACGCTAGTTCAGACAGCGCGCTTTCCAGTTTTTCGATCCGCCCCCGCTCCGCGAACCCCATTGG